GGTGATTGGCGCTGGGAGCCCTGGCTGCGTCTGACGCCTTGGGGAGCAGGAGAAGCCCTCTCCCTGCTCCTGAGCATGTGGTGGAGCTGCAGCCAGACTTACTCGCACTTCTCCATACCATTTGCGGGACTGACAGCACCTTGGGATCTGCACATGCCCAGGTCAGTCCCGTCGCCCTCTTCCCCCGACCCTTCCCGACCAGCTCCGCTGCCCCTGACCCCCTCCTGGTCACCCCTGCTTCCTGCCGGCCAGTTCTCCCCCCACCAATCGCCCCCAGCCAGCCCCGCTCACCCCACCCCTCTCCCAGCCAGCCCCGGTTCGCCCTCCAATCTGAGATCAAATGTGTCCAGTATTTTTTTAAACCATATGGTAACCCTAGTACTACCAAGGCTCTGGCCTGGTGTCCTTGTGCTCACGCTTCCCCTGTGTGTCAACACAAGGCAGGGCTGATCTAGCAGGGAAGAGTTGAAAAGCCAGACACCACGGCTATGTCTGAACGGTGCTAAAAGCACAGTGTTATGGTTGAGTCAGGAGAGCCAGGCCAGAGTTGTGGGGCTCAGAATGCACAAATGCCAGGACAAATGCAAACTACACAGAGGCAGCCGTGCGGGGTGGGAGCAGCTCCTGTCCAGGGGGTGGTCTGAGCTCCCGGACCAAGCACAAGCTGGAACTGGGCTGGGCTGCTGGTGAGCCTGCTAAAAATGTACTGGTCAGGGAGAAGGGGGAGAATGCATGTAGCCTATAGCATCAACGTATACACTTTTGAAGATTGGTTAATCAGTTAATTGACCCCACTATTACATCACTAGTACTTACGCCTCTTCCTGAAGACCTGATATGAAGGGCTAAATGACCAGCCTCACCCCGACTTGTCTGATGACATTGAAGGTCCAAACAGGTCATAAGAGCATAAGAAAGGCTGTTCTGGGTCAGTATCCTGTCTACCGACAGTGGCCAGCACCAGGTGCCCCAGAGAGGGTGGACCGAAGACAATGATCAAGTGATTTGTCTCCTGCCATGTCTCTCCAGCCTCTGACAAACAGAGGCCAAGGACACCATTTTATCCCCTGGCTATTAGCCTTTTATGGACCTAACCTCCATGAAATTATCTAGCTTCTCTTTAAACTCTGTTATAGTCCTAGCCTTCACAGCCTCCTCTGGCAAGGAGTTCCACAGGTTGACTATACGCTGTGTGAAGAAGAACTTTTTTTTAATTAGTTTTAAATCTGCTACCCATTAACTTCATTTGGTGTCCTCTAGTTCTTCTACTATGTGAACTAATACATAACTTTTCTTTATTCACCCTCCCCACACCACTCATGATTTTATAGACCTCTATCATATCCCCCCTCAGTCTCCTCTTTTCTAAACTGAAAAGCCCCAGTCAGGTTGAGGTCAGCTTGAGTGTTGAGTGACTGAGCTATATTGTAAAGCGAAGCTAATGGTTGGACAGAAGGTAGAGCAGCTGACAAGCAGATGGACCAACTGAGCGCCCCAAAGGACTGTAGCATGGAGAGCAGCTACCAGAGATTTAATGTGTCTCAAACGTGGATCTGATGAGATGATTCCTATTTGTGTTCTCAGAGAGCCGGTAGATGTGTATCACCGGTCTCTTAACCCTGTGGTGTTATTTCATTTTCAGTGCTTCTATTAATGAGACCTTCAGATGCCTTAGTCTCCCATGCTGTACCCTCTCTGGCTCCCCCTTTTGCTTCCTCTCCGGCTTCCCTGTTTGTCTCCTACTGCCCGAAGAAATGGGTCGGGTACGGAGGGAAATGCTACTATTTCTCAGAGGAAGAAAAGAGCTGGAATGTTAGCCAGCACTTCTGCTCCTCGTTTAATGCTTCCCTGGCTGGGATCGACACCCTGCAGGAAAAGGTGAGACGCCAGCAGGTTCTTTGTGTAAGGGGACTGTTAGCCCCTTACTAAAACTCTGTGGGAGTTTTTGGTTCGCCAGCTCCCAGTATCAAAAGGGGAAGGGTCCATGAGAAATCAGGGCCCTGAGACTGACAGACCCCCGAGACAATGGAAAGCTGCCAACACTCCAGCCCGGCCTGATTGACAGGTTGGTCAGGCCAGTGAGGAAAGTGAGAGGCCAGGCCCCGTCCTCCCTGTGAGCTGGGATTGTTCTGGGTCTCTCTGAGCAAGGAGAGAGCTGAGAGACAGCTAAGAGGAGCAAGCTGTGTGGAGAGGCAGTCCTGCAGCAACAGAGCTAGGCACACACAGCCCAAGGAGCGCAGACCCTGTGTTGAGCAGCAGACTGGCAGTGCTCAGAGAGCCGAAAGGGACAGAGAAGCAATGCAAGGAGCTGGAGACTGACAAGGCAGCCCAGCCTGCAGCTGGGTGTGGTGAGCAGCTGGGACCAGCAAAGTGCGGGGAGAGGCTCTGGGCAGGGAGAGATCCCCAGCCAAGAGGCCCAGCAGGCCAGACTGGGAGAGGGGTCTGGCCACTTAGAGCTTGAGGCTATGTGGTCACTGCCAGAGCACGTGTGTCCAGCCTGCAGCCCCCCTGCAGCACAGCCAGGGCCTCTAAGGTGCCTCTAAGGAAGGGACTGTGGACTGTCCTTACACTCTGCAGATGGCTGTTTTGATGTCTCCGTGCTACGGAGCAGGGCTGTGTGTTCTCATTTAACCATTCTCTTTTTTTATTCTTTTCTCTTTAATCAGTTGATGTTTAATAAATTGTATTTGCTTTGAACCTTATGAAATGATCACTGGGCCAAGGAAGCATGCAGTGTGAAGAGACAATAACCAGGCTGGAGACATGTCATCCCCCGTCCCCTCCCCGTCCTATGCCCCGTCCAGAGCCTCCCTCCTCTCCCCCCGCGTGCTTTATAGAGGGCAGGGCAGGCGGGTTGAAGCTCTCCCCGCACTCTTTTCGTAGGGAAACATCACTGGTTGTTCCCCTTCGTCAGGGAGTGAGGGGAAAGTGCCCAGTTTGCTGCATTCCTCACTCTAGGAAGCTCAGGAGGCAAATGAACCCGGACCTGCCCCCGCCAGGGGGCATGCCCCCTCCCCGCAGCTATGCTTGCTGGAGCTGCAGCGATCATGGAGAGGCGCTTCTCACCCCAAGCTACTGCGGTGAGAGAGGGGTGAGAACCACCTCTCTCCCCGGGGCAGCCTGCAGGCTGAAGTCCTCCTCTTGCACCCAGAGCAGTGATTGAAATGAAGAAGGGACTCTTTCATTTTCTTGTCCAAAAACCATACGTTGAATTAAGCCCTCGAGCATCGCCAGGTAAATCCCCTCAACCAGGGATATCCCACAACCAGGATAACTCAAGCACTACCGCTCTTATGTAGAGACCAGCCCTTAGCAATACACCTTAGATTCCCTGCTGCAGAGAGCCCTGTAGAACGGGAACTGAGCAGCAGGGCAGAGTCTGATACGCCTGTCCTGTTGTTAAGGATTTCATAATGCGCTACGCTGGCCTCGTGGAGCACTGGATTGGCCTCCGAAGAGAATCCGGCCAGCCCTGGAAGTGGGTGAATGGGACCCAATTGAAACAGCAACTGTGAGTCCGTTTTTCTCTTTGCTTTCCTAGGGATCTGTCGCAGGTGGGGAAGATGCTCCCGTGGGCAGGCCCACAGCTTCCTGCATTTATAGCTTCTCCTCCTTACACCGCTGTCCAAATAGGGCTTAACTCTTCTGTACAACACATTACGGTGCAAGAAGCAATGTGTGACCCTTGACACAGTCCATGCTCCCAATGCACTTTCTCTAGTCGGCTGTCCAAGTAGGCATTAAAAACTCTTAGAGGCTAGAGTCACGTTTGGAGTGAAACAGGCTGGGCACTGCCTATGTTTCTCTCGGGTCCAGATCCTCAAAAGCAGTACTTTTTTTTGTCAAAAAGAAAAAAAAAAGTGTCGGTACTCCAGGGGAAAAGTTGTTGAGCTCTGACTGGAGGTGCTGGTACTGAGTACCAGGCAGTACCGTTACAAAAAAAGCACTGCTCAAAGGTATTTAGGCACTGAATGCCTCTTGACATTAATGGAAAGTAGGCGTTTACATACCCACTTAGGATCTGGGCCTGGGTTACTTTTAATGTGAAGGTGCTAAAGAGACACCTTAGACCACATCTTTGTTCTGCTGCCGCGATCGATCTTCCGGAGTTTGATTGAGCAAGTCTAGTTAAGACTCACTAAATCAAATTCAGAAGGCGCCCCCATCAGCGCCCTGTACATCTGCTCTTGCCAGGAGTAAGGGAAGCCCTCCTGCTGTGGGAATGCCACTAAGCTTAGCTTAAGGGAAGCCAACTCCAGCTATGTATTCTACATAGCTGGAGTTGCGTAGCTTAAGCCAAGCTGCTGAGTCCAGTGTAGACCTGGCCTCCCTGTTGTGATAATGCTCTGTCCCGGCATGTTGAGGCTTCCATGCCCTGCAAACTCAGGCAGGTATTGCTATGTTGGCTGTACTCCGTGTGTATTGATAAAGGTTGATCAGTCATCAAAGGTAATTTTTTTTTTTCTAAAGATAGCTCAATGTGGCAGCACAATAGAAAAATTCTGGTTTGCTGGGCTACCAGGAGCTGTCCCATTCAGATCCCTGTTTCTGCTCTCTGTGCCTAGTGACTGCCTAAAACGTTTCCTTCTGCTCTGATATTTGGCTGCCTGGCAGGAGGTTGGTGGGACTCCTGTGGCTGGTTCAGAAAAGGGGAGACCTTGGGAAGCTGGGAGGGCTCCATCAATAGGTAAGCAGTGCCCCCTAGTGGTGACGGATGGGAGTGGCAGGAGAAGCGTTCAGCTCCTGACGAGCTCTGTAACTTACATTGCAGGTTTGAAGTACGAGCAGAAGGGGACTGCGCCTACCTGAGCGATGTCTTTGTGAGCTCTTCCAGGTGCTATTCTGTGAGAAACTGGATCTGCAGCAAACCTGATGCCTATATGAAGGCAAAGAAAAATGCAATGGAGGGAGAGTGAGCGGATCACTATGAGGTTCTGTTATGAACAGAGCAGGGGGTCTCAAACGTCACTGGATCACAGTGGGACCTGTTGGAGCGGCTCACACTTTGTTGCTGTGCACCATTAGCACCCACATAAAGCGCCCACCGGACCAGGGCCGGCCCACAACATTTTGGCACCTGAGACGGGGAACTCAAACAACGCCCCCGTGCCTCTTATTCTGCCTGTCGTGTCTCTTATGCCCTCCTTCCTCCAGCACAGCACTCCACCATCTCTGTGCATCTAGAACAGAGTGAATACATATGCACCAGCAACAGACACAATTTTCTACACTCTGGGTCCTAGTGGTGCCTCCCCCCACACACACAGTCTGGCACCTGAGGCAGCCGCCTCAGTTCGCCTTATGGTAAGGCCATCCCTGCACCACGTCTCTTCTTTCTTTCCAGGAATCTCTGATGTGAAATTGCTGCCTCAAGGCGTTTTTGCCCCTCCAGTTCACGTGGGCTATCTTCCTGAAGCAGCGAGTATGCAATGGAGCAAGTTTCTGAATGTGGCAGCAATATACCAGCCACGTCACCAAGCCATTCAACAGAGAATTCAGGACAACTGCCTGCTAGACTGTTATCTTTGTATGAAGAAGTTGAGCACTGTGATTGTTCTATAAGCGCTTGGTCAGTCTTCTGAAGGCAGCACTGGCTTTGGTTAGTTGAGCAGATACATCGTCCTCAGCAGGGCTCGACAAATCATGTAATCTACTCGCCCGTGGCGAGTAAATTACAAGCCGGCACAGCCAGCGCCATGCGATCTGCACATGCATGGTCACCTTTTCTCTTGTGTATGTGTCCAGTCTGGGCATCTTTGAAGTCCTGGAGGACTTGCTCTTTCTCTCCAATGGCGATAGATAAATGGGTGAGACGGCACATCAGCTGGCCACCGCCAGCTTTATAGATTTCTGATGAGATTCCATCATTGCCAGATGCCTTTTCAGATTTCATCTGTGTGATGGTTTTTGGTTCCTCCCCAGTAGTTGGCGGTATAACTGGCTGTGAATCATTAGCCTACTGAGGAATCTTTCAAAACCCTGCTGTCAAAAGTTGATGTCTGGTTTAATACATTATGAAAATGTTCATCCCAGTGGTTCATCCCAGTGGTTAAGGATTTTAACACGATCTGTAATCGGAGTGCAGCCATCTGCAGAGCCCACTGGTATAGAGCCAGCAGGGCATGGCCCATTGATCTGCCTTCCGCCCATGATAGCCTGCTTTAAAATCATGTCCATCGGCTGTGCCTTGAAGTTTGGCTGCTTTGCATTTCCACCAGTTCTGTCATTCGCCCTAACGTGACTTGTGCCTTCGGCTTAGCTCAAATGCATGCTGATTTCCCAGAGACGGTCTCTTTGTCATTGATCTAGGCCAGGTGTATCTCCTGCAACTTGGTCCTTATCATCACACAAACCTTGTGTGTGTGCGGAAGCCTAGTGTTTCAACAACAGTTTTCAGGGAGCAGAGGGGTAGCCGTTAGTCTGATTTTTCTTATAGACTAACAGATGTATCGGAGCATAAGCTTTCGTGGGCAAAGACCCACTTTGTCAGAGGCATGCAGTGGAAAAAAAAACCTGCCTCTGGAATTTCCACTACATGCATCCGACAGAGTGGGTCTTTGCCCACGAAAGCTTATGCTCCGATACATCTGTTAGTCTATAAGGTACTACAGGACTTCTCGTTGACAACAATTTTGTAAGTAGTTTCCTTGATGTTACTCCATTCCTGTTCAGTAGTGGATGGCTGCTCTGTGCCTTCATTGTTGATGACTAAGGAGGCATCAAGATGGATTTGAAGCCATGCTTGCCTCGGGCATTTCAAGTTGACCTATGTCCAATTTTTTCTGGCTCGCAGAAGAACCCTCACGCTGGGGTTCTGCGGCGTAGAGGCGCGTCCTCAGGGTGGCGGATTGAGGAAACCCTTTGAGAAATGAGGGGTTGTGCCAAGTATTAAGGCACCGTGGACCAACAGTACCTAGGAGAAGGGAAACTCTGATTTTTAAACCGGGGCAGGCAGAGCTCGCTAAGCCTATTTAGGCACATCTGTCAAAGAGAAGGCAACTCTGATCTCAAACCCATGGATGTGAGCGTGTAGTCAACTACACAATTACCTGGGCTTATTGGTTAACCCTGTTGACTACCCGCATTTCCTGAATGGGGGGAGTAGGATCATTGGATCCTGTGGAGCTGCCTGCCCCCTCTCCACCCCAGCCGTACTGCCTCTGAGACACAGCAACATGGAGGGTCAGGAGGGCAGGCGGGAGCTGATACACCTAGGAAGCTGGCTTTCAAGGAAAAGGTCCAGAGAAGAGCAACAAGAATGATTAAAGGTCTGGAGAACATGAGTGAGGAGGGAAGACTGAAAGAATTGGGTTTGTTTAGTCTGGAAAGGAGAAGACTGAGCGGGCACATGAGAGCAGTTTTCAGGTTTATAAAAGGATGTCAAAAGGAGGATGGAGAAAAATTGTTCTCCTTGGCCTCTGAGGCCAGGACAAGAAACAATGGACTTAGACTGCAGTAAAGGAGGTTTAGCTTGGACAGTAGGAAAATCTTCCTTCCTGTGGTTAGACCCTGGAATAAGTTGCCTTGGGGTCATGAAATCTCTATCTCTGGAGATATTTAAGAGCAGGTTGGATAAACATCTATCAAGGTTGGTCTAGACGATGCTTGGTCCTGCCATGAGGGCAGGGGACTGGACTCGATGACCTCTCAAGGTCCCTTCCAGTTCTAGTGTTCTACAATTTTATGACTGGAGTTTGGCGGTGTGTTCTTAACATTTAAAAGACTAGACAATTGGAGAAATGGATCCTGCTGCAGACTAGGAAAGTTCCCTCCTCCAGCATCAAGGACTGAGGGTAACCTGGGAGAGAAGAGCGTGTGATGTTATCTTCTTGTGATGTTTGTACAGATCATTGTTGCAACCACTGTTATATGTTTGCACCACATCTTGTACAAAGTGGGCCAAGTAAGATGTCTCTAAAAAGCTTATAATCCACTGGTTCTGTTTATACTGCTCATATGCATGTGTCATTTTTGTATTTGAAATTATGGGTATTGGCTCTGTACTTGCATTTCAAATGTTTGCTCCTGGGAGACATCAACAGGAGACTGGGCCAATCTATTATGAGAAGATTGCTAGCCAAGGGAATAGCAGCACTTGCCTGATAGTGCATCTCAGGTGGTGCCAGTCCACATCCGATGAGCTGTGCTGGGAATGGTCAGACCAGTATGGGAGCCATGGTGCAGATCAGAGTCATGCATGGACATGTGGCTTGCTCATATGACAGACTCTATGTTGGGATATGCTTTTACACAGCAAGAACAATGGAAGTCCCTCCGGTATAAAAAGGAATTTTCATTTTGTCTTCAATCTTGCTTCTTGCCTCTGAAAGATCTTTGCTAGGAATTGAAGCTTTGAACAAAGAGCTGATGACCCATCCAATGTGGATATACTCCAGAGACTAGATTTAAGACAGCAAATTATTCCATCTCTGCTGCAAGTCTGCTTCAAGAACTTTTTGGTTGGATTATGCTGTGACAGTTCTTCCCACCACCACTTAATGAAATTGCCTTATAGCTATAAATGTGCACGACTTGAAAAAATGCTTTGAATAGAATATCTCATGTGACCTATCAATTTTAATGTCACAGTCTGTTGGATTTGAATATCTTATTTTAGTGTATGCACATATACATCGTTGCTGTGTTTTAAATGTGCAAATGAGAGCTGTCAATGATTTGAGGACAACCAAGGAAAATTTGTAATGGACAGAAGCTCACAGTAGGCTTCCAAGGAGAGGGTGTTGCATGACAGTGGTATCTCCAGGACAAGTCAGCTAAGGTGTAATGACTGGTGAGTTAGAGAAGATCAGCAGAGAAGGTACTTTGGAAATTGCAGACTTTGAAATCTGATATTTTGGAGAACTATGATAAAGATAGTTATTTCCAGTGCTTTTTTGGGGGGAGGAAGGGTTAAGAAAAAATGTGCCGATGCTCCGGGCTGAAAGTTGTTGAGGAGAAAAAAAAGCCGCACCAGGGGCTGAAATGCGGTCGCAGCCCCTTTAAGATTCATGCTGCGTGTCCTGAGTGGGCATCCGTTGGGAGCCAAGACATCCCGGCTGTGTCTACACTGGCCAGTTATTCCGGAAAATCAGCCGCTTTTCTGGAATAACTTGCCAGCTGTCTACACTGGCCGCTTGAATTTCCGGAAAAGCACTGACGATCTAATGTAAAATCATCAGTGCTTTTCCGGAAAAACTATGCTGCTCCTGTTCAGGCAAAAGTCCTTTTCCGGAAAACGGTTCCAGAAAAGGGCCAGTGTAGATAGCAGAGATTTCTTTTCCGCAAAAAAGCCCCGATCGTGTAAATGACGATCGGGGCTTTTTTTGCGGAAAAGCACGTCTACATTGGCACGGACGCTTTTCCGCAAAAAGTGCTTTTCTGGAAAAGCATCCTGCCAATCTAGACGCGCTTTTTCCAAAAATACTTTTACCGGAAAACTTTTCCGTTAAAAGCATTTCCGGAAAATGATGCCAGTGTAGACGTAGCCCCCAGGTACACCAGAGGGGAATCCCATTCAGTTAAAGTATGATGGGAAAAAGGTGCTTTTAAGCTTTCCCTAGGCGTACCGTCACAAAAAAAGCACTGGTTATTTCGTATCTTCAGAGGGTGTTTTCTTTAAGTACAGCTAGACATAATTGATCTGCATGAGTAACTATATTAAGCGTTTGTTCTGTGCCTTCAGTTTTCTTTCTATTGATATTTAATTTGCTAAATAAACAACATCCCAAACTCTTCATGAAGCTACTTACACCTCAGATATATAACATAATGTATATAACATTGCTCTACTATACATCATCCTAGCTCATACTGATGACATTTTTAATTGTGTTTTAAAATAACTCATTTACAAATGTAGTGTATTTTTAAAAATATTTCCTTCATACAGAAATTCCTATGGATATATTTAAATTATTGTACAGCATCTGAAAATTATTCTCATTAAAGTACCTCTTAGACTTGTTTTAATAGCGTATATTTTCATGAGACTTTTTGTTTTAACGTAAGATCCTTCTTCTGTAGCTGTCCATGCTGAAAGCTTGTATAAAACTATACCAATGCACTTCAGGCAGTACTTTCACAGAGGACTGCATAGTCTTCTCTAGAAAAATACTTTAAGAGCTAGATTCTGTTCTCAAGTAACATTACAAGTAACTTATCCTCTGGAATCCTTAATGTCGGGGTTATGTCTACAACTACAGGACAAAGTCAAATTAAGATGCACAACTTGCATTTACAAGTTTAATTCTTATGCAGATCGTATGAACAGGAACATTGGCCGGCTGGCACACTACCGTCCACATCCTAATGACTTAACCAACTAAGCAGTGACAATGCTAATTGTTCTTATCAGTATCTTGTAACTACTTGAACCATCTACTCACTGTCTCTCTTTTTTTCCGCTCCTTTTTTCTCTCTTTTTTTCCCTCCTCCCCCCTTTCCTTATTTATTCTTAGATCCTGACTTCTAATACTCCAGTCATCTGAAGAAGGGGGTTGCACTTGTGAAAATTCATGATCCCATCTGCATGTTTTGTTAGTCTTTAAGGTGCTACTAGACTATTTGTTATTTTGTAAGTTGTTTCTGAGTTGAAGGTTTGTCTGAGAGAAGAACAGCTTTAGGATAAGTTTGCAACACGTTTTAGTGCATCAGAACTAGTGCTGCATTTTCTTTTCATTTTAATTCTGTAACGTACTTTGCTCTGTCTGTTTTCACTTGCTGCCACTTAAATCCTAGCCTACTTCTACACTGGCAGGTTCTTGCACAAAAACTCTTCCACGAGAGAGCATCCACACTGCCATGTGCTTTTGCGCAAGAGCATCCATGGCAATGTAGACGCTCTCTTGCGGAAGAAAGCTCTGATGGCCATTTTAACCATGGGGGCTTCTTGCGCAAGAAATTCATGTTGCCTGTCTACACTGCCCTCTTGTGGAAGAGCTCTTGTGCAAGAGGGCTTATTCCTCATGGGGAGAGGAATAACTCTTCACAGGGAAGAAGCCCTGTGTTACAATGCTGTACTGTAAATTTACTTCTGGAAGAACGCTCGTACAGTGTAGACAGACAGCAAGTTTTTGCGGAAGAACAGCTGTTCTTGTGCAAGAAGCTGCCAGTGTAGATGTAGCTCTACAGTTTGTACTTTTGTATTTTTTGTTGACTATCAAACTCCGTGTCAATAATTGTTTCTTGGAGGAGGGGAGAAAGCAGTCACTATGCACAGCCTCCTCTCACGGATAAAGGGACCTACTAGAATGAGCCTTCATCGTGTAAAACTTGTATACCCTGAAAGGTAGATTTTTGTGGGGTTTTGATCCCATTCAGGGTTTGCTTCCCCAGTGCTGAGCCCTAGAATGACCTTCTTCCAGAGGTGAGGTAGTTCAGTGTCTGCATTGATCTTGCGGGAGGGGGACGGTTACCTCCCTCTGTGTCTTGTCTGGGGGAGACCAGGGAATGTGGCCCAGCAGGACACGATGGCAGGGAACTGTAGAGACCAAGGAGACGGAGTGTCAGTGACTTTATCAGCACACCAGGGAACTGCCCCTAGGTATCTTCTGTGAAATCCCCTCCCCCTCCCCCACCGGTCACATATGTAATTTGGTTCCTTTAACAATTTTAACTCTCCCCATTTATTTCTTTTTTAAGAATAAACCTTTAGATTTTAGATGCTAAAGGACTGGCTAACAGCGTGCTTTTGGGGTAAGATTGTGAGTTATATATTGGCCTGAGAATGTGGCTTGTCCTTTGGGATCAGAAGAACCTTTTTCATCTCGGGAGACTGGTTTTCATAACCTCTCCTCTGTATAAGAAGTAGTACTGGTGGTGGCACAGGAAAGCTATATTGTTTGGCTGGGGAAAGGGGGGGGGAGGTCCGTACAATTATAATAGATTGAAAAGGTTGGAAGCCACTGATTTAGATTTCAATTCCATCACTATATTAAAAACACATAAAAACATCCATACTGGCTCAGACCAAAGGTCCATCCAGTCCAGTATCCTGCCTGCTAACAGTGGCCAGTGCCAGATGCCCCAGAGGAAGTGAACAGAACAGGGAATCATTACATGATCCCTCCCCTGTTACCCATTTTCAGCCTCTGACAAACAGAGGCTAGGGACACCGTTCCTACCCATCCTGCTTAATAGCCACTGATGGACCTAATCTCTATGAATTTATCTAGTTTTTTTATTTAACCCTGTTATAGTCTTAATCTTCACAACATCCTCTGGCAAGGAGTTCCACAGGTCTATGCTGCATGACAAAGAACTTCCTTTTGTTTGTTTTAAACCTGCTGCCTATTAATTTCATTTGGTGACCCCTACTTCTTATATTAGGCGAACAAGTATATAACTTTTCCTTACTCACTGTTTCTACACCACTCATGATTTTATAGACCTCTATCATGTCCCCCCTTAGTCTTCTCTTTTCTAATCTGAAAAGTCCTAGTCGCTTTAATCTCTCTTCATATGGGATCCTTTCCAAACCCCTCATCATTTTAGTTGCCATTTTCTGAACCTTTTCTAATGCTAAGAGATATTTTTTAATGAGGTGACCACACCTGTACACAGTATTCAAGATGTGGGCGTACCATGGTTTTATATAGAGGCAATCAGATATTCTCTATCTTATTCTCTATCCCTTTTTAAATTATTCGTAACATTCTGTTTGCTTTTTTGACAGCCACTGCACACTGAGTGGATGTTTTCAGAGAATGACTCCAAGATCTCTCTCTTGAGTAGTAGTAGCTAATTTAGTCCCCATCATACTGTATGTATAGTTGGGATTATTTTTTTCCAATATGCATCACAGTGCAGTTATCAACATTACATTTCATTTGCCATTTTGTTGCCCAATCATTTGGTTGGGTGAGATCTTATCGAAGCAGTTTATATCTCAAAGGCTTCTTTCTGGCAAACCCATTTGAATTGAGCACCACAGGTTTCAGAACGAATCGCATCTCCCTTTATCACCCCACAGCTGTTCTGTTCAGCAGCGCCAGTTTTTGGGAACCTGTGGAAAGAAGCAAACGTATTATCGGTGGTTTCCGTTTGTTCAGCAAATTCTGTTGAATTTATTTGTCCTCATTTGCATGCGGGGTGCATGTCCAGGCAGAAGAGTTACCTATTTGGAGAAATGTGACAATGACTACGTCTACACTACAAAGAAAAGCCTGAAAAAGATACACAAATGGGGAACCACAAGTTGCACCAAAAAGCATAGAAAACGCTTCTTAAAAGGACAGGCCAAGCTTTTTTTTTTTTTTTCCTTTGCTCTACAACTTCGCCCCAGCTCAGGGATTAATTAAGTCAAGGGATTAATTTTCTAATGACATAAATGTTGCCTTTCAGTTCCTAGTAGCTAACACAGAAGGAAGTGTCACCTGTTGTACATTTTAAATCAGAGCGTGGATCATAAAACCCTAGGGCTGGCCGAGACCTCAGGAGTCATCGAGTCCAGCCCCCTTCCCAAAGCTGGACCAATTCCAACTCAATCATCCCAGCCAGGGTTTGTCAAGCCGGGACTTAAAAACCTTTAGGCATGGAGATTCCACCCCCTCCTTAGGGAACCCATCCCAGTGCTTCCCCACCCTCCTAGGGAAATAATTCTTCCCAACATCCAACCCAGACCTCCCCCACTGCAATTTAAGAATTGAGGTGGCTAATTCTTAGCGCTCAAATCTAAAAAGCAAGGGACTAGGATTTTCTGCCGTTATAAGATAAACATATGAAACGCCAAACAGCACTCACAGCGTTTGATTTAATAGTCTGCCGTCCACCCACATCCAGGTCCTCTCAGGAGATGTCACATTAAGTCCAATCCAAAGATGATTTACACCTTTTGTAACAGTTCGTATGAAATCCTGCCAAGTGTAAAGCAGAGGGGACTGAGTAAAAGTCACTGAAACATGCTAGAATCTCCTGCGTGCTTCTACATAGATACACCCTGTTAAACTTCAGGCTCTCTGCCCACAGTGCCTTGGGAAAATTTGCTTCCTCTACTCTGAGGATCCGGACCACAGGCGAATGCACCTTCTGCCCTTGGGAAAATGTAATCTCTGTGTAGAACTAAGGAGTTCACATACTAAAGGGGTTACAAGAAAAATCCATTTGCCATTGTGCTATGAATATGAACCAGTTCTTTCCTAATGACACAAATAAGAAATTCTTAGGCAAATACCCATTGGCTACGTCAACACTGCAGGCTTTTTGCTCAAGAACTGTTTTGCGCAAGAGTTCTTGTGCAAAAAATCTTCCACAAGAGCGTGTCCACACTGCCATGTGCTTTTGTGCAAGAGATGTGCTTTTGCACTACAACATCCATGGCAGCGTGGACACACTCTTCTGCCAGAAAGCTCTGCTGCCATTTTAACCACAGGGGCTTCTTGTGCAAGAAATGTATGATGCCTGTCTATACTGCCCTCTTGTGGATGAGCTCCTGCACAAGAGGGCTTATTCCTCGTGGGAAGAGGAATAACTCTTCCGGAAGAAGCCCTGTTTTCCGACGCTCTCCTGTAAATTTACTTGCACAAGAATGCCCGTGCAGTGTAGACAGCTGGCAAATTTTTGCACAAGAATAGCTGTTCTTGCACAAGAAGCATGCAATGTAGACACAGCCATTAAGATTAGGGGGGTGCATTGTTTCTCATTTCCCCCTTTCTGCTCCCAGAGATAAAGAATGTTTTGTTTTAGATTTTATTAATCCAAAGTTCACGTAACGGAGCCTCCTCACAATATGGCCAGCCTCATTTGTTTACTTATTGCTGATGCAAGTCCTTGTATTGTACTATAGACTCATCTCTCCAGCTGAAGGTTCATCGTATTTTCTTTACCATCTCTTCCTGGTCGTGGATCACTAGCATGTGAGATTTCTTCTCTGTACAGTCCTCAAGGCTCTTCTTCCAGTATTTCATTTCCTGCGAGACCCAATAGCACGTTCCTCTGTGCGACAACCAGTCCTTGGGGCAGAGTTTGCACTCAGAGCCCACTAGAAGGGGAAAGGGAAATGGACTGTCAGTCATTGGCTTGAAGGTTCTAAGTACCATCAAGGATGGAGCCTTCAGACTCTATCCCAACCAGAGCATCTCTCTCTTTCCATTGTGTTTGTTGAGGAACGGCTCGGTTCTTAGCAAGATACATGTGAGGGTGGGACTAAGGGGCTTTGGTAGAGCTAGGCTGGGGCAGGAGTGAGGGCTAGAATCACAGAAGGGGGCTCTGATAGTCAGGTGTTTGAGTATCCCTGCTGTACATGCGCAGCACCTGGATGACTGGTTAGCAGGAATAACACTGGCCAGGTGTCACCATCTTCGTTGCTAGCCAGCCACCAGGCTGAGGGGAATCCGAGTCTCTGGGTCTCTAAATCCCCAAGCATTTAAACCCAAACTGAGTCCAGTCACTGCCCTGATCTTGGAGGTCCAAAGACACATTCTCAGGCTGGCTGTGTCTACACTGGCATGAATTTCCGGAAATGTTTAAAACAGAATAGTTTTCGTTATAAGTATTTCTGGAAAAAGAGCGTCTACATTGGCAGGCTGCTTTTCCGGAAAAGCCCTTATTCCAGAAAAGTGTCTGTGGCCAATGTAGACGCGCTTTTCCGGAAAAGAGCCTCGATTGTCATTTTCGCGATCGGGGCTTTTTTCCGGAAAAGACTACTGGGCTGTCTACACTGGCCCTTTTCCGGAACAGTGTTCCGGAATAAGGACTTATACCCGAGCGGGAGCAGAATAGTTTTTCCGGAATAGCGGCTGATTTTGTACAGTTCAACGTCGTTGCTTTCCCGGAAATTCAAGGGCCAGTGTAGACAGCTCGCAGCTTATTCCGGAAAAGCGGCTGATTTTCCGGAATAAGTGGCCTAGTGTAGACACAGCCGCTATGTCTACACTGCAGGGTTTTTTTCGGCAGAAGATATGTAAATGGAGCACTTATTTGCATATCTTGTGCTCTCATTTGCATATTCTCTTTTGATCTTTTTAGCAGATGAGGTTTTGCCATTAAAGAGCCCCATGTAGACGGGGCCATTTGTCGGGGGGAAAAAAACCCCTTTTGCACAAGATCCCTTATTCCTCAAAAATCGAAGGCTTATAGGATCTTGTGCAAAAGGGTTTTTTCCCCAAAAATGGGGCTTTTTAATGGCAAAACCTCTTCCACAAAAAGGATCAGAAGAGGATATACAAATGAGAGTGCAATATATGCCAATGAGCACTTCATTTGCATATTTTCTGCCAGGGGGAAGAAGGGGGGAACCTGCAGTGTAGACGTAGCCTGGGGGCACAGATCTGATATCCATTTCAGTTAGGCTATGTCTACACTGCAGGCTTTTTGCACAAGAACAGGTGTTCTTGTGCAAAAACTTGCAGAGTGTCTACACTGCACGCGTGTTTTTGCGCAAGTAAATTTACAGTATAGCGTTGGAAAACAGGGCTTCTTCCGTAAGAGTTGTTCCTCTCCCCAGGAGGAATAAGCCCTCTTGCGCAAGAGCTCTTCCACAAGAGGGCAGTGTAGACAGGCAACATGAATTTCTTGCGCAAGAAACCCCTCTGGCTAAAATGGCCATCAGAGCTTTCTTGCACAAGAGAGCATCCACACTGCCATAGACACTCTTGTGCAAAAGCACATCTCTTCTGCAAAAGCCCATGGCAGTGTGGATGCACTCTTGTGGAAGACCTTTTGCACAAGAACTCTTCCACAAAACAGTTCTTGTGCAAGAAGCCTGCAGTGTAGACGTAGCCTCCCAGTTTAACACTCTCTGGAAGCTCATAGTAACTGGGAAGCATTAAATACACAAACGCTTTGCTCAGAGTCTAACACAATTGCTCTTTTACTAACGCATATGATTCCTGGGGAAATTCTGTGCTATTGCCCGTGCACATAACTAATAAACAATGCACATTTTAAAGTTTTTTGTGCAGAAACAAGTTTCTGACAAAATGTGGCTGCAGTTTCCCTTTTCACACACCAGAGGGTGAGGTGACACAAGAATAGCAACACTTCCCAGCAGAAAATAATTTCTGCAGTTCTGCCTCTTGCCCACCACCAGAGGGTTCCATGCCAGCACTTACTTCCCTGTCCCTCAGCTTTGCCCTGCTTCTGGGAAATACAGTTCTGTATTGTAGTTGAAATGAATTATTACTCTAGTTCTGTACGAATATGCCTCGGGAGGTATCTCCTTGTCAAAAACCCTTTCCTGACTCGTCTTTGCTAGCGGTATTGTTACAGACATACGCGTTGACCGGTATTTTGAAATAAATTACCCCAAATAATTGAAACTGGTCTGATTATATTATGCTATTTTGATTAATTAAATGTACAACACAGGCTCTTGCTATCGGTGATGGCTTTCTATCTTGCTAATCCCCTCCTACTATGGGGGTGAGGGGTGCATGTGGCCCTACATAGAATCATAGGATACTAGAACTGGAGGGGAGCTCGAGAGGTCATCGAGTCCAGTCCCCTGCCCTCATGGCAGGACTAAATACTGTCTAGACCATCCCTGATAGACATTTATCTAACCTACTCTTAAATATCTCCACAGATGGGGACTCCACAACCTCTCTGGGCAATTTATTCCAGTGTTTGACCCCCCTGACAGTTAGGAACTTTTTCCTAATGTCCAACCTAAACCTCCCTTGCTGCAGTTTAAGCCCCTTGCTTCTTGTTCTATCCCCAGAGGCCAAGATGAACAAGTTTTCTCCCACCTCCTTATGACACCCTGCACCCCACACGTCACCCCTGCTGCAGCAGTAGTGGGAGCCTGGAGCCCTGAACTCTTTCAATAGCTGCCAGAGCTGCAGGCAGCACACTCCAGGGAGGAGCTGGCTGTGGGAGGCTAGCCCCAAGCCTGTCTCTTCTGCCCAATGCCTTGCCCCTTCTGGAGGTGCATAGCCATATTCTCCCCCTCAAGCCCCCACTTGCCCAGGGGCTCAGTAAGTCTCTCCTCAGCCCTGTTCATGTGAGAAATAAAACTGAAGTTGGCTCGCGATCATAAAAATTCTATGGCCTCTTTTGAATACCAGAAGGCTAAACAGCATGTGTACCAAATTTAGCCCCTCTAAAATCTCCCTGAATTTCACTCCCGTTATGTGGGAAACACCCTGGCCACACGGTTCTGGCTCCTCCATTTCCAGATGCTTAATTTCAATTATGGATTTTAAAACACCTTAAATACTCTCCTAATAAGCAACAAGTGCAGTTGTCTAGGGACACTGCATTATGAGAATTTGTCAAGTACTTTATAATCCAAGTAGTGAGAAACATTTATTGGGTCGTCTTTGCTGTAAATCCAAGATATGGTCCAAAAAACTTATAGCGAAACAACTTAAAGCCGAGATTTTTTTTCCCTGCGGCTGACTTCCATTTGCGAAAATTGGGGTTGTTTTGTGCAACTTAAGAATGGGGAATGGGGGGACTTAAAACACATCAGTTCCTACAAGTGTCATCAACTTTAGCATGGAACAGCGGGATGCCTAACAGCAGGGACACCCTATATTGCATTTCAATTCGTTTGCACTGTCCGCACTGGGAATTTATCCTTTTTGTGGCCACTAAATGTCACTGCTTCTGCTCACTACCAAGTGGTGCTAAAGATAAGGGAACTAAAGACAGGGAGCACCACACAGGTGCAGCACATCTCTGCTGTATAGAAAACAAGAACATTTTGATGGGCTACTTTGATTTTCAGGTTGCAGCGAATTTTTCCAGTGGGTGTGACATGGGGAAAGGAACCAGTAAGAGTGAGATTTACCTGTTGAGTTGCTGTGTGATGACACACACAGCGTTTGTTTCAACTGAGATCGGAAATCCTCCAGGCGGGAGCCTTTGTTTGTTACTTTGGGATTATGAAAAAAAAAAAGTAGAGGACAGAAAATCCATTATTTACTGTACTGTCTACCAAATCCAAGGGTATGTCTAGACTGAATCCCTCTGTCGGCAGAGGGATGCAGATTAGGCAGGTTGACATTGCAGATGAGGCCGGGATTTAACTATCCCGTGCATAATTAGCATAAAAATGGCCGCCGCATTTTGCCGACTCAGCACTTTGTTGGCAAAAACCAGCAGTCTAGAGGGAGAAAGAAAGCCTTTTTCTACTGAACCTGTAAACCTCCTTGCAGGAGGCATAAAGGATCTGTTGAAAAAGGCTTTCTTTCTCCCTCTAGACTGCTAGTTTTTGCCAACAAAGTGCTGAGTCGGCAAAATGTGGTGGCCATTTTTATGCAAATTAGGTGTGGGATATTTAAATCCCTGACTCATTTGCAATGTTGACCTGTCTAATCTGCATCCCTCTGCCGACAGAGGGATGCAGTCTAGACATACCCCAAGAGAAGAACAGAGTGGAAATCTCATTCATTACACTTCCTAACGTATATTCATTCCACTTTTCCCTGCATGATTAATAATGAAGTTGTTTTAGTCCAAGCACAGAGATGTTTATATACAAGGCTCTTAGCCACCTCTAGTTAAAGTGAAGTTTTGACTTGCATGGCCCAATGGGTCGAGTATTTCATTCACAAATAATTGGAACTTGGAAAGGAGGTTGTGAGGTTGTCAGCGAGGTTGTGACGAGACAGGAGAATTCAAGCTGCACATTTAGACTGTGAGCACTGTAGAAGCTGTAGAAACCATTTTATGTTTAGCTAGAAGCCATCTTGTATAACAGAAACCATTTCAGCTTTTTGCCTTTGCACGTAGACCAGAGTGAACTTTCTATCACCCCATGTGCCAGGCCAAGACAGATGGGCTATTGGAATGTGTTAATTGGACTGGTTTAGACAGGAGAGGTACTCCCTCGTACCTGTCCGCCATCTTGTTAATAAGGCTTTATTTTCCTAGCTTAATTAATGATTTCTGTAATTGGATGCCCTAACGTCAGGCTGTTTGGTCAAGGGTAAAAAGATACTAGGATCAATTGTCTTAAGCAGCCTTATTGGGCCCGACTTTGCTGGGACTATGTTTGGCTCACTTTGCTTTACTAATCAATAAAGCTATCAGTTGCTGGCTGCCTAAACAGAGAGAAGCATGTTTTTGCTTCGACAGCACCTTGGCTAAGGAACTGCCTTACCAGATACCTGAGAAAGTTCCGAACTTTCATTCATACTTCAATCTGACACTTTACAAATGGGCCTTAACAAAGATGCTAATTACCTCACTCATTACAAGGATAGCTTCCCCACTTATCACCCCTGATTAACTATTCAGGTATGAGGGAGAAAACTTGTTCATCTTGGCCTCTGAGGATAGAACAAGAAGCAATGGGCTTAAACTGCAACAAGGGAGGTTTAGGTTGGACATTAGGAAAAAGTTCCTGACTCTCAGGGTAGTCAAACACTGGAATAAATTGCCCAGGGAGGTTGTGGAATCCCCATCTGTGGAGATATTTAAGAGTAGGTTAGATAAATGTCTATCAGGGATGGTCTAGACAGTATTTGGTCCTGCCATGAGGACAGGGGACTGGACTCTATGACCTCTCGAGGTCCCTTCCAGTCCTAGTACTCTATGATTCCCTCCCTCCCTCTCCTTCACCCCACCTTCTGTTCTAAATCTGATTTGTCAGTTTAATAATGTGTTCACTTTTTTCATTGTATTCCTTTGGTATATATGGTCATGCTAATTCTCTTTCAGAATATGATCTGAGGAAGTGGGTCTGGCCCATGAAAGCTCATCAACTAATAAACCATCTTATTAGTCTTTAAAGCACTACATAGTTTTCCCTTTTGTATAAAACCCAGTAAAAGATGGGTCCCAGGACCCAATGTAATAACAGAACTACAATACAAATCAATATGAGGCCTAAAGCTACTTACCCCAGATGCCCAGCACAATCACAGCTCCTGCCAGGATGACGTTCCCAGCCCATCCGACTCCCAGAGCGATCCAATGCCAATGTGGGCACTGGAGGAAACCTGCAAGAGCCAAAGTTTGGTGAAAACCCTTCAGCATCCAGTGTGAGGAACAAGGTGGCTTGTTTTCTCCTTTGAGCCTGTGCTGCAGTATTTTGAGGCTGTGTCTACACTGGCAAGATTTTGCACAAATGCTTTTAACGGAAGAGTTTTCCCGTTAAAAGTATTTGCACAAAAGAGCATCTACACTGGCATGTGCTTTTGCGCAAAAGCATCCGTGCCAGTGTAGACGCTCTCTTGCACAAGAAAGCTCCAATGGCCATTTTAGCCATCGGGCTTTCTTGCGCAAGAAATTAACGTTGTCTGTCTACACTGGCCTCTTGTGCAAGAGGGCTTATCCCTGAGCGGGAGCGTCACAGTATTTGCGCAAGAAGCACTGATTTTGTACATGACAACGTCACTGTTCTTGTGCAAATACTCGTAGCCAGTGTAGACAGGCGGCAAGATTTTGTGCAAAAGCAGAGTTTATGAGAAGGTTGCTTGGGGGGGGGAGGATCTTCCATGACTTGCAATTCCTCTCAACTGTCTGGGCCCAGAAACTCCAGAGTTGTTATGGTTTTGGCAGAGATAAAAACCACAAGAACGTAAGAGCGGCCAGACTGGGTCAGACCAAAGGTCTGTCCAGCCCAGTGTCCTGTCGGCCCACAGTGGCCGGTGCCAGGTGCCCCAGAGGGAGGGAACAGAACAGGGAACATCCAGTGACCCCTCCCCTGTCGCCCATTCCCAGCCCCTGACAAACAGAGGCCAGGGACCCCTCCCTGCCCAGCCTGGCTAAAACCAGAGTAGATGCCTCTGTTCAAGTTTCTTGTAAACTGGATTTTGGGCTCTGAGGATGAAGAGAACCTGCCTCATACACTTCTGTTAAGGGATGAAGGCATCAGACTCTGATTGTTGTTGAAGCCTGATAATAGCACAGACAAGTTCGATACTGCTCCTCTGACATGGTGAGTTACTACTCTGGACAGGGCTAGTTATGAGCCATCACCTTGAACATTCAATGAACACATCTCTATTACATACTCTCATCCGGACCTTACCTTTCAGGAGGGGTCAGTGTGTTCCCGTTTTCCTTGGGGGATTTTTTTTGTACTGTCCTTGCTATCAGGATGTTCTGGTACCACTGGATAAGGGGATGTGTTTACATGAGTCCTTTGTGCCTGGCACTTCTTAGCAGGGACTTCCTTAGGATTTCTGGGGCCTTACACAGCACTATGAAACTGATGACCGTATGCGTGGGAAGGGCGTGCTGATTCTGTAGAGACGTGATTTTCTAACCTTCAGCAACACACCCATGAAATAGCTTTAAAGCAAATTGTAAACTAAGGTCCTGCCGACTAACACAGTAAATTCAGAAACAATGTGGGCTTGGCAAATGCCGGTGAACTGGTTTAATTGCCACTTGAATGGCTCTGTCACAGGTTCTGCCAATAGCTCTAGCCAGCTTTGTCACTTGTAAGTTAATTAGTGATAGAGATGCAGCCATGTTAGTCTAGGGTAGCTGAAACAAAAGACAGAACTATGTAGCACTTTAAAGACTAACAAAATGGTTTATTAGGTGATGAGCTTTCGTGGGCCAGACCCACTTTCTCAGATCAATATGTGGAAGAAAATGGGCCAGACCCACTTCCTCAGATCAATATGTGGAAGAAAATCGGCACAACCATATATACCAAAGTGATACAATCAAAAAAATGAACACGTGAAATTGACAAATCAAATTTTAGAACAGAAAGGGGGTGAGGGAGGAAGGTAAGTTTCTGTGAAGTAGTGATATAGGGGTGATAATTGGGGAAGCTATCTTTGTAATGGGTGAGATAATTAGAGTCTTTGTTTAAACCCATACATAAAGTGTCAAATTTAAGCATGAATGACAATTCTGAAGCTTCTCGTTGAAGTCTGGAGTAAAAGTCTCTTTGAAGCAATATGCATGTTTTAAGGTCATTGAAGGAATGGTCAGTCTGGCTGAAATGGCAAGCAACAGCTTTCTCTCTGCGAGAGAGTCTTATGTGCATTGATCCTTTGGCGAAGTGTCTGAGACGTTTGTCCAATGTACATAGCAGACGGACACTTTAGGCACATGATGGCATAAATTATATTTCTTGATTGTATCACTTTGGTATATATGGTTGTGCCAATTTTCTTCCACATATTGATCTGAGGAAGTGGGTCTGGCCCGCGAAAGCTCATCACCATCTTGTTAGTCTTTAAAGTGCTACATAGTTCTGTCTTTTGTTTCAGTAAGTTAATTAGACCCCCTCGGGAGGAAACAGAGCCACAGAACAGGAAGAGGAAGAGGCAGATAGGTGGACTTTAAGACCAAAAGCAGTTTTCAGATGTCCTACCCAGCTGCATATTTTGTGCATCGATAAAGACAGCCCTGCTTTTGGGGAATGTGCATTTCTACAATGCTCGCCCTGTTGTTGCCAGATTTTGTGAGCAGTTTCTGCCTCACACCAGGCCTCTGATTCAAGGGCACATGTTTCAGGCTCTCTTCCTACTACAATGTGGATTTCAAAGACAGCACCTTTTCCCCCCTCCCTTAAAAACAAAGTTATGTATGTAGTTAAGACAAAACATAGAAAAACAGTGATTTACAACCACAACCACGCTTCTTATCTAAGCTGCTTCATGACTATAAATCAAGCGAAGCTGCAGGAAAAGCTGCAGACCAATTCCCATTCTCTTAAAAACGCAACGGTCCTTCTGTGATTGATTTTGGGCACATTCCGTGGCATGCCTCAATGTCCTCCTTCAGTGGGGAGAGATCCCTTTTTAGAGTTGCACCAACTGAATAATATCAAAATCCGGCAGTCCAGATACCTGCAAGTCACATTATTGAGATCAAGAGCATGATTCCGCGAACACGGCAGCACGTGGTTTGCTTTACACACTGTTCACATGGCCATAATACTATTCCTTTGAGAGAATACAGATGTTTAGACAGCTGCAGACCGGACAGGGCAAAGGGGGCAGCTGCCCTGGGGCCCCAAGATTTAAAAAGGCCCAGGGCTCCTAGCCTCCACCTCTGTTACTGCAGCAGCAGCCAGAACCCTGAGCTCTTTAAATTGCTGCAGGAATTCCACAGCTCTTGAAGAAAGGAAGATTAAAGGAGAGAACATGCTGAAGCCAGATGGGTAAAAAAAAATAATCATGATGAACTAGGACAAAGCTGCTCAACTTTGGAAGCCCCAGGGGCCACAATGATACTCACAGCACATGCCGCGGGCCGCAACTTACGTGTGGTTGCATAGACATGCAAATATATGCAAATAGCTTCTTTCACACTGACAGATCCAAATACAAAGATGAAGGCAAGATTGCACAACTCACAGGCCCCATTTAAGTCAGTTCTGCTGATATGATTAACATGCAATATTGACCCGATTTCCACCCATATGGCAGCACTTTTACTGAGCCATGACAGTCCAGAAACATAACTACTAAAACACATCTCAACAGAAGACCATTCTATTGACTATTTTTTTTGTTTTGGCTCCCATCTGCAGGCTGCAAACAAATGGGCCACGTGCTGCATGCGGCCCATAGGCTGCGAGTTGATTAGCCTTGAAGTAGGATGATGTATAGTAGAGCAATGTTACATACACCGTGGGTACGTAGTTCGATAAAAACTTTGGGATGCTATTTACTTAGCAAATTAAGTATCAATACAGAGAAAAATATGAAGACTCAGCGCTCTGGTTTAATATAGTTACTGGTGTAAATCAATTACCTCCAGTTGTACTTACAGAAAACACACTGCAGAGGTGAAATAACTATCCTTCTGCTGGTTTTATCGTAGTTCTCCAAAATACCAGGGGTTTAAAGTTTGCAGTTTCCAAACTAGGTTTTCAAAAATGTGTGCTAGGAGATACAGTTTACAGTGATGTGTGGTTTAACTTACGGCTCCTTCTCCCCCATTAGTCCCCGACTACTCCTCTGTTGATCTCCCCTAACTCACCAGTTATTACACCGCGGCTGACTGGCATGACAGTGCTTTCTCCATGACATCACCCTGTCCTTGGAAACCTCCAGTGACCTCCTGTCCACTACACATTTTCCTGGGTTGTCCTCCTCGACCTCAATTGTCAATCGTTTCTTTAGCCCCATTTCCTAAGACCTCTGCCTCTCTAGTTGCCTGTGCTTAAAACCTATTAGCCCCTTCTTTTTATCCCCTCCAGCTTCTGGGCTATCCTCTAGGACCTTCCACATCAAACTGGGTCCTTTTTCAGATCCCATCTCTTCTCCCTAA